AGTTTAACCAGAGTTCAAATTTTTCTCAGGGGAGCAGGACAAAGGGAGAGAGATCATGTGAGTTGAAAGTTGCAAGTAAGTGATTATAATTCTAGATCGTGAACTGTATAATTAAGGAAGAGAAGACATGAGTGGGTTGAGGGAGAGTAAAAAAAAGCTGTAACATCAATGGATTGTAGATTTTTCATAGGGTCAAAAAATGTTGGAGTTGGAGTATAAGAGGGAGTAAATGGGTGGGTGGCTCAGAGGCAAACTTGACCTTGATCTTATTTGCTACTGGAAACAAGGTTTATTCATTACCTATTGTTGCTGTAACAGGTTACCACAATTTATTGACTTAAAACAACAAAATTTGTTATCTTTCTAACTCTTATTGGTCAACATCTGAAATGGGTCTCACTGCACTAAAAACAATTTGCTGGCAGATCTATGTCCCTTCCTGGAGATTCTGGGACAAATCCCTTTCCAGCTCACAAGAATGACCCACGTCCATGACTCTGGGCCTTCTCCCTCCATTTCAAAGCCAACAACAGTGGGTAAAATTTTTTTTAATTAATTTATTTATTTATACAAGCACTGGGTACAGTCAGAAGCACGGGAGGGCGAGAGAATTCACCAGAGCCAGAGCGGGGAGCAGAGCAGGCAGAAGGACCAAAGCACACTGCTGAGGGGAGCAGCGGGCGGCAGGGGAGTTCTGCGCGCTATGTGGCCGGGGACCCTCCTCCGGTGGCCGGGGAGCAGCCGGGGATTGAACCGGCACTGCAGAGGCTGCGGGCAGCTTCACAACCCAGCGCTCAACCGCTGCGCCACCGGGGAGGCCCTAAAATTTTTATATAGTATCATTCTGACTTCCTCTTCTGCTTCCTTCTTATGATTGGGCTCACGGGGAAAATTTAGGATAGCCTCTTCATTTAAGGTCAGCTGATTAGCAGCACGAATTCCATCTGCAACATTAATTCTCCTTTGCTGTATAATGCAGCACTGTCAGAAATTCTAGGGCTTCAGATGAGGACACCTTGTGTGATTGTGGGGGGTGGAGGGGTGGGGTGTCACTAAAGGGCTGTAGTTATTGGTAAAGTCAAGGTTTGGGTATGACTATAGAAGTGGATGGCTTAGGTAGGGTAGAGGACAAAATCATTGGAGGGGAGAAGGTTCATGCTCTAAGAGGTAAAGATGCTGAAAAGAGGATCTGCAAGAATATTGAAACCACTAAGTATTATAATAGAAATCAGAAGAGGAAGTCAGAATGATGCTATATAAAAATCTTTGTTTGTTGGTTATGAAAATGGAGGGAGAGGCTCGAGAGTCATGGAATGGGGGCCATTCTTGTGAGCTGGAAAGGGCCAGGAAAGGAGGTTTCTTCCCTAGCACCTCCAGGAAGGGACATAGTCCTGCCAGCAACTTGATTTTAGCCCAGTGAGACCCATTTCAGATGTTGAGCTATAAGAGTTAGAAAATAATACATTTGTTGTTAATATAGTTAATCCAGAAATAAAAACCATCAAAGAATGAAGAGTGATGACCAGGGAATAAAGAAGTTTCGCTGACGAGCTATTGGATGAGAAATGATAGTGAAAATAGATGTTCTTGAAGTTGGAGTTGAGGGAAAAAATTTCCCAAGCTCTGCTTCTTTTGAAAGGGATTCATGAAAGGTAATCAAATGATGGTGAACTCCAGAAACACAAAATTGCCTTACTGTATTCTCAAGGTGAACTGTCATCACCATAAGTTATTGTTTTAAATGTTTCAAAACTTTTTGACATCTTTATTTTCATATATGCTCAGTGCAATGGTGAGCCAGAAACAGGCAATCCTATTGTCACTCTTTCATAGTTCAAAAAATAAGGAATTAATTGATAGCAAATCGGTGGACAATAGATCTATGTTGTACCTATTCAATTATTTAGCTTAAAACGTGGCAATAAATCTGTACACAGCAGAAATTGACTAACAATGTAAGTCACAAAGGAAAGTATCATTAGATGCCAAATGAGTGATGTAGAAAATAGTTGTGCGTTCTGAAGCAGAATCCATCACTAAACTTGGCAATAATTATGGGAAGCCTGAAAAGAACCTTGAAGAACTGAGATGATTGCATGGAAAAGAGGAGAGAGAATTTCAGGCAGGGAGGAGAGCTGGAAATTAGCTTGGAATGTTTGGATTAAAGTGAACAGAGCTATCTGGCCCTCTGTGAAATGTGGGCAAAATGATTTTGAAGGTATACTTGTAAAAGAGAATTAAAACTGTTGGTAAAAGGTACCTCCTCCTCTCTCCAACATCTTAATATGGTTGTTGTGGTTTGTGGATTTGTTGCAGAATGAACAGTGTATGAAGTTATTACAGAAATCGATTCAGTAGGGATTTCTAAATGTGTGCTAAACACCTTTAGAGGTCTCTCTAAAGTTTAAACAAAAAAAAAAGTAAAAAAGTAACTTTCTCATATTTTGAGTGAGGTGATTCTCATATGATCACATAACAGCTCCTTGAATATCACATTTTTTCCATGTGTATTTTATGTATCTTTAAATGTTTTTAGCTTCTTCTCAAAGAAAAAAAAAAAGAAAAATTATGAAGCAAGACAAAAGCCTCTCTTTATAACTGGGATAAATACTGATTTTATTACTTCAAGAGTGGGTGTGAGATTCCATCTTCTGGCCACCTTTCAGCCAACTTTTTTTTTGTTTTCTACAAAATGTGAGGCACGTGTGAATGGGAGTGAACAAAAATGTCAATACATTGTGGCTACTTTGATAGCAGTTAGAGAAAGAGTCAGATGTTTGAAGAACACTTAATATTAAATGGAAAACAGATGAGTGATGATAAATGATGCTATCTATTTCTGTGAGTTTGCCACATTGGAATCTAAATCTGAGACATTACAGGGAAAATCCTGAGTACGACTCATCAAAGGACTGAATTACACCAAAATGAGATCCAGGTTAGGAATGTGGAGACTGTGAGGCAATTCCCTAAACCAGCTATTTCTGAGCTAAATTCCCTTGGCAGTATATCCATAGAAGGTGATTCTGAGTATCCCCAGAATCATAGAGTATTAGGAATAAAAGAGATCAATATGCCCTCAAGTCTGATTCTCTTTAAGTGATGCTTGAATTTACTCTGCCACAAGCCAGTCTCTTCTCCGAATAGACATACCTGGAGATGGGCCAGATCAGTAGTGTGCTGCTAAATGCTTAGCCATCAGCAACCCAGAAAGGAAAAAAGAACATGACATGTGACACTTGTCAATTTCTCTGGTGTGAACACTCCCACCAAGACTATTTAAGCTATCAGCATAATGACACCATTATGAGGTATTTCCACCTTATAGATAGGATAGAATTAAATAGCCTCAGGAGTGCAGGTAATAGTAAAATGTAGTAAAATAATTAGGATGTGATGAATTTGGAATATTTTTACCTTTTAAAAAGCATTTACTTCTATCAGAGAATTACACTTTTTAAATAGCTGTATATAATAAGTTGGTTCTTGGGCCTCCCCGGTGGCGCAGCGGTTGAGCGCTGGGTTGCAAAGCTGCCCGCAGCCTCTGCAGTGCCTGTTCAATCCCCCGGCTGCTCCCCGGCCACATGGCGCGCAGACCTCTCCTGACACCCGCTGCTCCCCTCAGCAGTGTACTTCGGTCCTTCTGCCTGCTCTGCTCCCTGCTCTGACTCTGGTGAATTCTCTCACCCTCCTGCGCTTCTGACTGTACCCAGTGCTTGTATAAATAAATAAATAAATCTTTAAAAAAAAAAAAAAAGTTGGTTCTTGTGAGCCAGTCCAAGCTACTCCAGACACCACTGCAGCAACAGACCCTGAGAAGGGCCTGGCCTCATCCTCTCCATGAAAGAACCTCAGCAGGTCCTGGTGAGTGGGAACTCCCTGATCTTACCACCCAAGCATTCAGTTCTCTTAAGCCAGGATTGCTTTGCTTGTCTCTCATTTCTCTGTAGTTTCTAACAATAACAAACATCATTCACAAAAATAAACTCCAGATGGATTAATGATCTAAATGTAAAAATAAAGCTATTAAAAAACTAGGAGATATATAGATGGATATTTTTAAAAGCTCAAGGCAGGATAAACTTCAGAAACATGACATGAAAGCCAGAAACTATTAAAAAAATAGATTTGATTTAATAATTTAAAATCTTTCTATGAGAAAATAACTTCACTATTAAAAATTCAAGTTAAATTATAGAATGAGAGAAATTTAAGTTCCACATCTACAGGCTAGTAGTCGTACACTGTATAAAAGTTCTTAGAAATAAAAAGGAGTAAGATAAATCCAATTAAAAAAATGGGTCAAGAATTTGAACATGTAACTCATATAAGAACTATAAATGTTAATAAATATATGAATAGATGCACAATAAAATCATAAATACCTTTTTGTCCTAACAGTTAATAAATATTAAAATGTTTGATAACTGCATTGTTGGAGAAGTAAAAACAAACAAACAAAACTGCAGGCATTCATTCATACACTGTTAGTAGAAGTACAAATCAATGCAACCAATTTGAAGAGAGAAAAACAGCTATTTCTAAAAAAGAAAATATATTAGATGCACATGCCCCTTGACCCAACGATTTTTTTAAAAATTTATTTATTTATGCATACAAGAGCTGGGATGTAAGCCAGAGGTGTGTGAGTGGAGTGGGGGGGGGGTGTGTGAGAGGATTCACCAGAGACAGAATGGGGAGCAGAACAGGCAGATTAATTGAATTACACTGCTGAGGAGAGCAATGGGAGAGACAGGAGAGGTCTGCTGCGCCATGTGGGTTATCTCCCTGGCCGGGGATCAAACTCATGCTGCAGTAGCTGGGGATTGCTTCATAGTGCTGACGTTTAACCCCTTTTGCCATCAGGGAGGCCCCAACCCAATAATTTTATAAATTTATTTAAATTATTTCTAATGAGCTAAGATATATGTACAAAAAATACTTGCCACAGCATGGTTATAACTGTACAATATTAGAAACTGTAAATATTCTCTAACAGGATAATGTCCAGAAGCCTATGGTGTGGCCACCCAATGCAAAGCCATTAAGCTGTTGAAGATCTGTGTGTGCAAATACAAGTGCTTTTCAAGGTATGTCATTAAGTGGAAAAAGGTGCCAAACACCTTTTAAAAGTTTGTATGTTTGCATAGTATCTTTTTTTGGAAATAAATAATTGCTAATAGGCATTATATTAAACTAGTAGAGAGACAAGAAGATGAAAGATGTTACTTTCATTTTCTATCTTTTTATAATTAAAAATATATTAGGTTTATATATCACTTTTATTTAAACAATAAACTTTTTCTTCCAGAAATAAGCGGAAGTGTCTTTGTTTTGGGTCTCCAGAAGCAGACACTGAGACAAAGATTTGAATGGGAGGGTTCATTTGGGAAGAAACATGAATAGGGAGGAACTTGGGGTAAGAACCATGGAGGAAGAGAGCAGAGGAAAAGAAATCTATCCGGAGTGCGTTATCAATCAAGTTACCACTGTGGCAGCTGGAAACTGGGATCCAATGTAAAACTCAAACCTTGGCATGAACCAGGTTAACCAAGGTTAACAAAGGGCAAAGGTGTATCTGTTCACTCCCATAGGTCATGAATGAAGTCTGCACTGGAGCACTTATTCCACACAAACTCTGGTATTTGTAGGAAACCTCAGACAAAGAGCTGGGGCAGCTTGCATGGAGGGGAGGTGGATGGGGCACTAGGCATATCTGCTACAGAGACCACAGCCACAATACCAGATTATAATGCATAAATAAAATATGCATATTCTATGACCTAGAAAATTCAGGTCTAGGAGACTCTCTACTGATACATTGGGACACCTGGGCCCTGATCCACGTTACAGGAAGACAGAATTTATTGCAGACACAGTGTGCTGGAGTGTGAATGAGTGCTCCAAAGGGGAGAGCCTCGCTGGTCTACTGCTGTGATGGCAAAGCAAAGAGAGGTAGCTGCCTGGGATCACTTTCACTCAAACTTGGGGGCAAAGGAGTCAGTGTTTGCCGTGGGTAAAATGAGGTTGTTCAGGGCAAAGAAAGAAGTAGCAAGAGGACCAAGAAGAGAATCAGGTCACCCTAATAGGATGTGACTTCAGATTTCCAGGAGGTGAGAAAATTTGGTTAATCAGAGGAGATACATTCACAGCATCAAGGGGTTGCACTGGAGACACGTCTCAGACAGTTGCCAAGCTGGGAGTGAAGAGTTGGAGGGTCTCCAGAGAACTGGCAAAGGCATGCAGGAGAAAGAAGGTGCTGGAACATTCACTGAGATTGCAAACCAACTACTACATGTAGATGGAGAGAATCTCCTGATTTTCTCTAATTTTCCTCCTCCTCCTTTTCCCCACCCTAACTCTTAGCACTAGCAGAGTCAGAGCCACAGAGTGAGTGTGAATTGGACTGAGGTGGGAGCAACTGGCTCCTGCAGACATTAGCCTGAGGTCAGTATGGGGGGTGGGAAGGAGTAGGGTGCATCAGGAGTTTTACTGCTAATTGAATCATGAACGTTTTCTTATTACATCTGATTAGCCATAGTCATTATTGAAATGAGATGATATTTGGGGATTTAAATGCCTGGGGCATTTTTTTTCTTACCTCGTTGTTCATTTTTGTATGCTAGCTCATTTCTCTCCTCGGGTGTGGTCCCATAATTTTCCCACCACCACACTTGTCACATCCACAGATGAGGAAAGTCAGGGACTCCTGTGTTTTACCCCAGAAACAAAAGGACAGTCCGACCAGATGCATTAAAGGGAGCTTGAAGACAAGAATAAACTTATCTTCTCCCGCCACCCTTGGGGTCCTGGCTCATCCAGCCTGACAAGCAGTGTCCTTAGGTTTGGTTCGGAGCCAGGTGCTTGGCAGGCAGGTGACGGGGTGGGGCAGTGCACAATGCAGATCTGTGAAGTGATCCAAATACTATCATGTTATACCTCATTTCTCTTTGTTTCTTACCAGTTTTCTAATTTGAGTTCCTCAGCTCTGTCATTTGAGCAAGTTCCAGGTGCGAGGATATTGTGTGAGAACACTAAAAATATGTCCAGATTGGTGGTAAAACATTCCAGGTCTCAAAAAATAACCTACTAAATCATGCCAAATAGGAACTTGTACTTTCCGATCCCATAGCAGGGGAAACCATGCTACAAAAAACACCAAGCCAACTTTCCTGCCCTAAACATAATCTTTTACTTTATCTCTCCCCCAAAGTTCACTATTTTATATCACTGCTGCCGTCACCTTCTACAACGATACTCTTTCCTTACACTAGCTGAATTTTACATCTACTCTTTTCCAACTTCCATCCTGGCCATTTATGTTGTGATGACACAGACATTACAACAGTGAGATGCGTGGGCATCTCCAAAGAACTGCCCTGCATTTAATGCAAAGAGAGAACAATGCCACTCCCTTTGAGCAGCTGGCAGTCTTGCTAGCATCCTCCCCTTCCTTGCTCCAGACTGTGGGTACAGCGGTGCTTCAGGATGGGACCAGCCTCTAAGCTGGGACACAGAGGGAATGATGTGACAGCAACAGGGTCCATGTCAAGCTCCATTCACCCCAGGGCCCTGGCCTCCCCTGCTCTCCGCTTATTGCTGGCTCTCTGCCCCAAGCTTTCTACTCAGCTGCATCTCTGCTTTCGGACTTCCTGGACTTTGGGGTCTTGCTTTTCCCAGGTTTGAAGCACTGCCTGATGTCAAGTCCCCTGGGCTCTCACTCTCCCAGGATGGAGCCCTCATCCCTTCCTCTCCCAACTTGTGTGTGTCTCTCGAGCCACAGGATCTCCTAACCTAGTTTCTGTGCCCTGCTTTCTGGCCACTGCTGCTCAGTTGCAGCCCAATCCTGGCAGAGTCATGGAATCGTGAGGTGAGTAGGTTTTTATTAGAAAAGAGGGGACAAAAACATGACTCACACTGATAAAAGTCTGGAAACAAGGACAGAATTTTGTTGTTTAGTCTGGCAGTCAGCTCACTTTGAAATTACTCAGTCATAAATGAAACCACTCTCCCTGAATCTTGGAGCTGGTACATGAAATGCTCTGAATTTCATAGGTGGCTGGCAAGGGGTGGTTGTTTTCAGAATGTGATGAAATGACTTCCTCTTTGTCAGACAATGTTAAGGGAGATGAAAGACCACCCTCCTTTGAGCATATTTGGTGTGTTCATCCTCTGTAGATGGGACCACCAGTATTCCTTTACTTTCTCATTATCAGATACAAATCCATCGCATGTATTGCGAACTACTCCTTCCTTGAGGCATAACTGAAATGGGCAGGAGACACCAGTGCGAGGCCACGATCAGACACACAGGGACACTTTGAGGGCTGAGCTACTCCAGGAGTTTCTAACCTGCGTCAATAATGTCCAAGTTCTGGTAGCAGGGTAAGGCCAAACAGTGCCCCACCCCCAGCCTTCTCCCCAGCAGATGGGAGGCCAGGGGCTTGGTGAAGCACCTGAGGCCTTCAGGACTTACCTTTCCTTCTCCCCTAGTAAAGGAGAGACCCCATGCAGTTAGGGTATCTACTTGGGCTTTCTCAGCCCTGCAGGATTATGATCTCCTTTAGTGCTTGCAGTGTCTGCTTTCCGACAAGAAGAAAACACCCTGACTGCCTACAACGACACAGACTGGCACCATGATTTCCTGGCCACTAAGAAGGTGCCATGTCCCACTGAATCCTTTAATAAGTGACATGGGCTTTCATCCCTGAGTTACAGAGAGGCCCACGGTGTGAACCAACAGCATCCCAACCTCTGTGCCACTTGGGTGACTCGGTGTATTGACAACTGATCTCTTCAGCCCTTAGGCAGCTGGGCAGGAGCCCCCTTCCACCCTGTCCAGCCCTCTTCAGCCTTCATTTCAGCCAACAGCCATGCAAGAGAACAATGCAAAAGACAGCAGTGCCCCAGACTAGTAGATTTTGAGGAGGGAGGGTTCAGGTTCAGCAGGAGGCACCCCTCACACCTCAATAATTAGCTGGAATATGTCACTCTCCAGAGGAGGGGTGGAACCAGGGTGCAGGGCTGTGGGCTGAATTTCCATACCCTGGAGTCATGGAGGCCTCAGTCCTGAGGATCCCCAGCACTTTGGATATGAAACTTATCCCCATAATAATAACTATCCTTCTTGCTACTTTTGTTTCCCCATTTTTTTCCCAAGGACAGAGTCTGCCCATCCTCTTGTCTGGTCTTCTGCTTAATTTAGAATTTAGAAGCAAGTGTGGGAGCACGTGGCTGGGACCTTTGCCCACAGTCATAGGTAAATGACCTTAAATGATCACTCAGCAGAAAGACTCCAAAAATGACAACCATACTTAGTTCGGGGGGATTATAAAACAAGTCCTTCCAAAAATGCAGGAATATAAGTAAAAATGAGTTATGTTTTCTAAGAGCTATACTGTTTTTTTCAAAAGCAGTGTTCAAACATTTCAAAAATGTTAGACCATCAGTCTAATCTCCCTTTATTCTTTCTGGTTTGTGTCACAATGAAAGTGTGAGCGCGTGCACGCACGTGTGTGTGTGTGTGTGTGTGCATGCACAGACATAACAATTGGAGGCATATTTTCTAGGACATAAATAACAAAGCAAAGAGTGTGGCATTTGGAATTCTGGTACTTAAAGGAGATGGATATGTGTTCTTTATTTCTGCACACAACTTAGCACTCTGTTGCCTACATTCCACATGAAATGTCTCTTCTGCTCATTTGCGTCCTCTGCTCCCCTCTTTGCCTATGTCTGATGAACAAGGTGTTGGGGCTAATATCCCACCCTTGCACCACCATGCTTGGAAAGTTCCAAGGCTGGAAGATAAAGCTTGGGGCCAGGTCAGTGGAGCCAGATCTATTTCCAGCAAAATATGTTCATACACATTTCAGGCCCATCTTCCTGTTGTTGTTATAGCTTCTGTCCAGGAGAAATGGACAGGTTTGGATATCACAAAAGCAAAAACAAAATCATATCTGAGATTTTAACAGATGCTTATTTTTTAATTGTGAGAACCCTGTTGTGATGTCAGTACTTGTTAGAGGTCTGTTTCTACTCATGTCGGGTCCTGGAGGAAAGCTTCCCTTTCATGTGGTGTCCCGGCCTT